CTCTCTCTCTCTCTCTCTCTCTCTCTCTCTCTCTCTCTCTCTCTCTCTCTCTCTCTCTCTCTCTCTCCCTCTCTCTTTGGTAGCCCCCCCCCTCCCTCTCTCTCCATCTCTCTTTCTTTCTCTCTCTCACCGTCATAAGAATAAATGAAACAATTTTTTTTGTTTTCTCTCTCTCTCTCTCTCTCTCTCTCTCTCTCTCTTGTGCGAGCTCTTAGTCTCATTGATTTGGCTACCTTAGGGCTGTGTTCCCCGCGTCCACGCGGTAGACAATGAACTTGGGGCATAGTGCCTCGCTCCACTACTGTACTGTTCGCAGTCAGGATGGCTGCGTATACATAGATGTCTTTTGTCGTTTAACGACCCGTTTCCTTATAGGGAATGTCGTCGACCGGGTAAGCGGGCTTAGAGGGCCTCGTTGCACGACGTGTAGTCTTGTGAGGGAACGTTGCGGGGGTCGGAGATGGTGGTGCTTGTCCTTTCTAGTAGGGGAAAGGTTTTTTCGATTATCTGGCCGTTCGTTCTTCACCGAGATCTACGGGACCATTTTTTTTTTTCGTCTGGTCGGTAATTCGCAGCCCTAAGGCTGCGGTTTACTGGGGTTCGGCGTATATGTCAAGGTATCGCATTTTTGGCGGCGGGCGACCAGGACCCAAAGTGGGTTCTTAGGGGGCAAAACAAAAACAGACATACAGAGAGAGAAAGAAAAAAAAAAGCAAATTCAAATGCAATGCATCACAACATAAATTCAACATAATTTATTACATTATTTAAATATAATACACTTGACAAATACTTTCAACAAATAGTTAATTAAAAAAAAAAAAGTCGAACGACAACAAATTATATTATATTTGTTTCTTCTTCAAAAATATCAATACAACTAATATATTTCTGAATTGTTTTTTGTCTATTTTGTTTTTACAGCATCATGGAAGTTGAAGAAAGATCTACAGACAAGAACAACCAACAAACCAATAATAATATTTTGTAAGTATTCGCCTTTTTAAAACCAAAGAACATATTTGGTAACAAACTAAAACAATTAGATTACAAAAGAACTAAGACTACAAAATGTAAAAAACATGTAGTTTAAAACGTTTTCGTAATTTTATAAACCATAAAATAAATATATTTATAATTTTACAATTTGATACTAATATTAATCATTTGTATTCTTTTTTTTACAGGTCCGACATTCAAACACTCAAGAGAAAACGCGATCAAATCAACAAAGACATACAACAAGTTCGAGATATTTCACAAACAATCCTTACAACAGTTGACAGTTGCAGAGATTGGATGACATAATTGCGTGCCTCAAGTTCAAACACGACTCTATCTATTGGACAAGAAGGCATAGTTGTGTATACAGGAAAAAAAATAACAACACAATGAGACAGTATTTTAAATATCTATTTAGTAGACAAAGATTTGTTAAACACATCAACACTCGACAACATAATAGATGTATTAGCCAAAAACATTAACAATGCTATAAAAATGATATTCAAATACCTTATAAAAGCAAAAGTCTGAAACGTTAAGGAAAACCATCAACTGCCAATAATTAAAATTTCCCTATATTTAAAAAAAAAAACATGTCACAATTACAATGACCTTTTTAATTAAAAAAATGCGAACATTCGACACAAAATCAAACAATCTAACTCCACCACTACTAATAGGCAATATGACATCACATCATATGCATCAAACACCACCACAAGAAATTCCACAACAACCATCGATACCACCAACACAAAAAACAACACAACCACCATCAATACCGCCAGCATCACTACAATCAACAACAACAACAATAAAGACAAGAAAAAAATAACTTCATCACTACAATGACAAAAAACACATGAACAGTCTCTCCTTTAACAAGAAAAAAAAAAAAAAAAAAAAAAAAAAAAAAAAACCGAGAACAAAAACAACGAGTCAACAAAAACCATACCAATTATGCTATACCTGCATATGCCGATCCGTTTTTTCTTTTAATCGACTATCGCTATATTGACTGCTTGACTAAGATGAAGAGCAAGTCGGCCTTGGAGATATGTATCCAAACACCCGCACAACAGACCCCTTCTTCGAAAAAATGCTGGCACAGTGTAA